ACTGACTTTGAAAATAAGTTTTTAAAATTTCAAAACGCTCTTCAAGAGAAAACATGTTGTTTCGTGCCGCGGACGGTATGACTAATAAACTGTCAAAATTTCGGGTCTGTAGCTCGTTTGGTGTTGCCATACGACGAAATTCAAAAACGTACCAATAGATGGCCCACCCTTTATAAAGCATAAGAATATATAAAGTGTTCGTCATTAATATACATTTGTTACATTTTATAAATAATATAAATAAGCAGATTTATTATCAAGAAGTAGAATAGAATTGAAATAGAGTAGGAAAAATAATCCTCATCTATGTTTTTTTTCTTTTGTAAACAATCGAGATAAATAATTTAGCCAAGTGTTGGAGTCGATTATAGAGTATGTTTTTTTCTGAAATTTATCCGAAGTAGACTTAAAATGGATGCTGTTGGTGAATTGGAACTGTGGTATTGGAGGTAAATTGGAAGATGAGAAAGGATCATGTAAAGGAACATACCACTCCGAGAGTTCATCATTAGGACTAGGTTCAACTGCTTAATGAATTTCTGTCAAATAGAAATACAAAATCGTAATTCTACATTTCATAAAATAATAAGATAGCATAAAGAAAAAAGATAATTCTAAAACACACTTACGTATCAGGACTTTGATCGGTATCGGATTCTTCAAGTTCGGCTTTGTTCCGCTTCTTTTCGTACACTAGAATAATGGCGCATAGAACAACAACCTCTGCGCAAATGCCTAAGAATGGCCAGAGTGCAGCAAGCTTATCCTTCACCCTGAGGAATGTCTTGGCCTCAGATGAATGTTCCAATACGGGATCAGACCAATTGTACGACATTCTGCAGATAATATTACCGCGATCGTTCATCTCGATGTTGTCAACAATCAGAACGGCGCCATAAATACCCTTCTCTTGATCTTTGGTAATCTTCACGCGACCTTTGCTGCGCGTATAATTTTGTTCCCCGAAGGTCCAATATATCTTTACGCCAGGGGTCTGCCGAAGACTGCTGCACACTAAGTGTAGCTTTTCACCCTCCACCACACTGGTAGATTCAGCCAGATGCGCTATTGGCCTTGCTGAAATTTTAGAGCATCCAATGTGCAATCAAAACTTCTTCTGGTAAAATATCTTTAAAAAAAAAAAACTTATTTTCTCTTTTCTTAAAGTAGATACCTTGACAGTGACGACTAAATTCATACAATGTATCCAACGTAAGCCGCTTGCTTCTAATAATATTTTTATAAATCTAGAAACATTATAGCAGAGTACTCACGTACGACTCTGTATTCGATTGTGGAGTTAGCCGCTTTACAAGTATAATTTCCATGAGCTTCCTCCTTATCCTTTAAAATTTCCAGGCTGCCAGTCTCATTATCAATCTTGATGATATCTTCGTTGCCAGCAAATGCCGTGCTTAACGGTGTTTTGTCCTTCAGCCATTGCACTTTATCGCCGGCGCTTCTGTTTGCACATTCGAGCACCAAAGGTATGTCTCTGGCCATAAGTACTCTAATCTTAACATCTGTGCCAAACAAGAAGACGTTTTTCGGTATACCATTATTTATAACCATGCAATTACAATGTCAAAGAAAGAAAATAATATATGTGTAAACGTTGCTGTACAAAGATTTTAAAAATTAAAATTCTATCTTTATATTTTCTGTGTATGACATAATAAAGAAATTAATTTATAATTTTTCTATAAATTATTCAGACATTATAATGCATGAGTAACGTCGGCAACTACCACTGCCGTTATATTTTTAGGATGCGCGCGCGCGCGCGCGCGTCGTCCTAAATATTTTATAATAATAGCTGAAAAACAGCAACTGAAAAGACGCGAACAAACCATTCGATTTTAAAATAAATTCATTCATCTCTATGTAAATTGTCCAAAATCATGTGTTATTATATTTTTCATTAACTTTATTAATTT